AAATAGAACATTCTTTGACAAATACCAAGAATGCAGAACTGGTTATACATTTAAATTATACTGTGATGTGTCAGTAATACAAAGCATTTCAAATGAAAGATAGGCTGAAATTAAATTATGCTGGAAGTGCTTCAGCATTGCCAGCTTTTCAGTGAAGTAATAGAAAGAAGTAAAACCAGTCGATACAAGATAATGTCAAATTCAGTTAGGAATGTTTCCAACATGTTACAGACAATGCCAACACCCCTTTTTTATCTTTGGATAACTTATTTGTAAACAGATTATCCAGGATCTATAGCAGCTGTGTTTGCATATTCATCTTCTATGAGGTGTTGCCTCATTTTGTGTGGATGTATTCCACCTTCAAAAGGTGCAAAAATGGACAATCAAAATGATTAGGAGCTAGAGGTTTTCTCCAAGGAAAAATTAGAGTGTTTAGGGGCTTTTAGGCTGGAGTAAAGGCAGATAAGGGGAAAATGGCAGAGATATATAAAATTATGCCTCATGTAGAAATGTGAAAGTCATATTTTTCCCCTCTTTTCTCATCGTGGTATATAGGAGATTATCCACTAAAATTAGATTCAGGACCAACAAAAGGAAGCATATAATATGTATTAGTAATTCATTTGTGGAATCTACTGTCTTCAGATTTCAGGTCAGTTGGGCACAATTGAATCTGTTTAGAAGACAGGCTGGCTGGAAACCAAATACTGTTTGACTAATTAAATGGATCAAGGTGGGGGGGGGGGAACTGATGGAAAAAACTCATGGTTTTCTCATTATCCAGAGGTTTTCTAGGGATCAGAAAACAGAAGATTCAGTGTTTTCTGAGCTTTACACTAAAGAGTCCTGTCTAAATGTTAAGAAAATACTGCTGTGAACCTACAGAAAAGGAAGAGAGTTTTATGAAAGGAAAATAGAAAAGCAAGTCTTGGTTAATTATCAGTTTTGTTTATCACTAAGATTAATGTCTCTTAACAAACTTCAGTGTTGCATTTGTTCATGTAACCAAGAACCAGAATCCATAATTAAAAGAGGTCTCATAGAAAAGTGTAACATGAAGTAAAGTATAAATATGACTAAGTAGTGATTTTTTTACCATGTTACATTACTATCAGAGTAATATGTGTAAAAAAAAAAAATCACCATTTCTTCTTCATCTAAAGGGATTTGGAAGGGCTACAATTCATTTATGATAGGTAGTGAGAATCTCTAAATTTGGAAAATTGTAAACTTTTTAAAAAAAAATTACAAGTGCATCTGCTTTTTAGTGGCATTTTAAGAGTTACATAATATTACTAACATTCTTCATCTTTTAGTTTGTTATTTAATGGCAGGTAGGGACATGGGGGGGAGAGAAAGAGAGGAGAGAAAAAACTGATAGCATTTAAATATATAATTTTTCCTGCAGTTTTTAAAATGTAATTTTTATGGCAAATATTTCCCATATTTATCCAAACGGAAGGAGATTCTGTAATTTCGGACAAACAAAGGGAAAATTATGGCAAAAATCACTTGCCTGTTTCCATTACTGTGCTCTCAATAAATCTGAAAGAGACCTTCCATTGTAAAGATAATTACAGCAGCATATATCTTTTGGGTTTAGATACTCTTGTGAATGGAAGAACACGTGCAGTGGAAGTTTTCTGATCTAGTGGGGTCATTTAACTGGTGGAGGTATTCTTCCTGCTCTCCTGTAAGCCCTTATTCCATTAGCAATAATGGGGCAGAACTAGGGGATCAGCAGGAGGAGAAAAGATCTTTCCGTTGAAGGAGCAATCTGAGTAGAATTCTACTCAGGAAATTCTTCCACTGATGGGAGCAAATTCTGACTTTAACCCATTGAGTATTTAATTAGCAATAAACTAATAGCTTATTAGCTATTTAATTAGCAATAAACTTATAGCTATAATCAGTTCATATATAGTGAATATCTGTAACAAAATAACTTAGCAGAAGCATTTTGGCAAAGTCCTAATTGTCTATAATTGTCAGGCCCATCCCAAGAATGACAATGAGGCAGTGCAGTCCAGTCCAGTTCCTTTATTAGCTTGCACCTAATAGAATCTCACCAGACTAAACCTATGTGAAAGCAACTAGTAGCTATACCCCATGAGACTCTAGGGAGGGGCCAGTCTCAGATTCTTCACCTTCTCACGGTCCTGCTGTGGGCTGACGAAGTGCTTGCTCTGTAACCTCTCCAGGAATGCTCCCCCTCCCTCCTGATAACCTTGATCCTTCATTCCAGTATCCTCCTCGCACATGCCTTTCACCAGAATAATGCTTAATTATAGATTGTGTTAATCTGTCTTTTATGTTTGGAATGTAATCTCACAAGTCAGGGAATGGGCAAGGAAAACCAAAGTTTGATGTCCTCTTCAAGAAGAATCAGATACAACTCAGAGCTTTCTTAGGAGTATGATTCAAAGTTAAGGGATTTATTGTACACTGAAAAAGTAAGGCTTTGCTTCCACACATACGTATAAATAAGTGAACCTGCCCCCTCATTCACATGGGTTAAAATCCCATTTGGGTGGATTCCTCTACACCCTGAAGAAGAGGATGAAAGTTTAAAATAATCTATTTGGTTATTTTGTTTCTATACTATTCTTTAAAAAAGTATTTCAAATTACCTATATAAACTCTATGAGAATATAAACATACTTAGGGTTGTAGTGGAACATGCTTTTAAAATGCTGCTGTTTAATTAATATCACACACGCCATGCTTTATAATGAACATGTATAATTCAGATTGCCACTCAGGAATATCAGCTCCTTAACTTTATCCGAACACACTTCAAGCTATCCTATAAAAGTATCTTACTTACTACTTGATATTCCATAAAAATAGTAATCTCAGACTTCCACATGTGAGATCACTAAACCAGGTGCATTGTGGAGGAAGATGTGGGGGAATATACATTTGAGTAGTAGAAAGCCAAAGATTACATGCCATGCTGCCTCACTTAATGACTATGAGCTAATTAATAAAATATTGCTGCCTTTGAAATATTTTTATTCTGACTTCACATCACTGTTTTGTGAAATATATGGCTATTTTTTGCTTTGTTTTCATTTATATATATTTATATCTATCAACTGTATAGTCATATCATACAGAGAATCAGTTTAACTGTTTCATGAGATATGGTAAATAATTGACCACATACAGTAGATAAATTGTATTTAAATGCCTTTATCACATGTGCTGATCTGTACAACTGGCTGGTCAGTATCTTCTAGAGTTAGAACATGTGATTCCACATGGGTTACATTTCCGTTAATGCCACAGACATCTTCATTACAAATTCTGAGTATTCCCATTTTGAGGCACAAATCTCTTGGAAAAGCAGGATATCAAACTGGCACAGAAAAGAAATAAAGATGGAGTCCATCCATTTAGTATGCTATCACACTACATTAGAGGAGAGCAAGTATATAGCAGGGTGTCATTTGATCACTGCTAGCCTCATAGATGGTCCACTTGTCAATAAGTTCTCTTACCTACCTCAGTCAGCAGTTATAGATCAATTACTGTGAGACCAATTTATTGAAATATCTAGAAAGGCCATGAAATGTATGGTGGGTATGACCTAGTACTAAGTTTGGACTCTGTTTTTCATTTACCATTATATAGTCCTCCTGTAGTTCTCTCTTCTAAATAATGTCATAATTTGTCCCTTTTTAAAAAAATATATTTCTGGTCTATGGCCATCCGATTGACAGACAGACAGACAGACGGACAGACGGACAGACGGACAGATTTCCCATTTAGAAACAGGTATTCTGAAAGATAATGCTTCACTAAGTTATCTGTCAAAAACATAGATTTTAATATACATAGCAGTTCTTTCTTACTCAGTAAGAATTCACTAGCCTACAGGAAAGCTTTAGCTGAAGAAAGTCCAATATCACTTCTTCAGTGAAACTGTAATAAAAAAGGAGTTGGGACAGACTTTTTTGCAGTAAATGCATTCAGGAATACAGGTTTGCTTATAATTCTTTCAACTGTCTGCATGAGCATTTAAAATACAATTATCCAATCAAAAGACAAACATGACCTAGATTTTAAAAATGCTACTTTTCCCAATGACATAACATCAAATCTTCACTATTCCTTACCTGGGTTCTATTAATCCTAAACTCATTGTGGTATCTCTAATAGTTTTCAAGCAACATCCACTTTGTCACTCAATATGCAACACTGTGATATTTATCTGTAATTACTATGGTGGCTACTTTAAACATTTTGTATTAATTATAATTTGCAAAATTGTTCTAAAAATCTGTCAACATATTCAGCAACAAAGTAATACCTGGAGATTTAGCATTTGATTCTAGCCTTTTGCAGAGAATTTGGAAAAGGGCACATGCCAACCTTGCCATTTTGTCTCTAAAACAAAACAGATATCGAAGTGATTTAGAGCACTGCAGTAAAATGGAATCTTTCATGTGTACAGGAATTTTAGCTTCTGCCAGCATGGTGACTTCTAGTTATTTTATGACTGCAGCCCTCAGAATTCCAGGCCAAAAAGAATGGAGGGTATTCTGCTCGGGAACGCTGTTTAAGGCCACATAGGATAACAAAATTTTCATTTGAAATATAATCAAGTAAACCTCTGCCCACTAGTAAATAATTATATGTCAAATATCATTATATGGCACCTGACATTTTAGCTGTATGCTGCTGTGTAGAGTAGACAGACTGAACTGACATTAAGGACTGTTCCTTGTATCAACAAGAATAAAATTTTCTAGATTTCTTCAAAGAAACGGACAATCTGGCTGTAACAATATCCTATCCATTATCTCTACATATAATGAACAATGCAGAAGACTATCAACCTCACCCCATGGGAATGATTTCAGGTATATACAGTATATTTTTACCTGAGATTGCCTTGTTTAGCAATGAGAAAACACTGGAGAAAGGAGGTTCCCATTATCCTTAAACCTGAAGTTTATAAAACATGAGCCCACATGGGATTACTTACTTACCTGATTGCACGTATTGATGTCTATTCCTCCTTTGAGATATTCCACTACTTTGTCCAGATTGCCAGCTCTGGCAGCTCGAAGGAAGCTTGCATTGCTGTCTGACTGTAGAAAGCAAAGCAAAATAATACTATTGAATGTTTGCTCTGAAGGTAAGCAACAGAAATATGACTAAAGGAAAGCTCTTTGTTCTGTTACTGATGTTTTATCCAATTCTTATTGATTCAGTTAGAAAGTGCATGAACATTATTAAGTTATCACTTTTTTTTTTATTTTCAGTACTTACAAGTGGCTTCTTTAAAATATGCACCACCACCCTGTTCCTCAAGGAAGCTCAATAATCTCCAAATCTAACCATTCTTGCCCCATTTAGCTGCCTGATAGTTGCTAGGAAGGGCATGGATCCAACACACAAGTTCAGACTATAGAGGACCCTATCCACTTTTTCAGGTTCCACAAGTTCAGAGTAATGCCGTATCACATGATGGCACCTCATTCACCACTATAGGATTATCCAGCCCAAATTGGATACAAATGACTTTATCTGCAAATAAACCAACACATTTATTCTGCATGCCTCTAGTTGTTTCATCCTGTTCATTCTGCCAGGCAAAAATCTACAGATGTAATCAGTGCAGAAAAGAACTGCTGCTTCACCGCCCTTACCACCACTGTGTAGGCTTGAACATGAACTCATATTAGTGCTCAGTCATATCTGTATCTGGTTTTCTACCATCATCACTGTGGTCATTTTTTCAGTTGTTTCATTTCCTTCAGCTCTTGGTAAACCAAAGAAATGCTTGGGATTGATGACTGTGCAGAGGTCATGGAGGAACAATCTTATCCAGCACTCTGGCCAACTCCACATTTGGCAGATCAACAAGGCATTAGGGAATTGCTTGCCAACCTTAATTATGAATTGTTTAATTCTTGCTTCACTTACAGGATTCCTTATACCATCACTGAACCCAAAAACAAACCACAAAATGTATCACAATGTGTATGTAGCCACATGGGAAGACTACAATTAAATCTATTGCCATTAAATAAAGAGAACACTTGATAAGGAAGAGATTCTTTTTTTAATTATAGGGAAACAACAGAAGTTTGAAGAATATTCTGTTATAGATCTTTGAATGTAGTAGCTATTTGCAATGCCTTCAAGGGATACACACATAGTTGTATTATTGCTTATGCTTCATGGGAAAAAAATGAAAAATTAAACAAGAAAAACTAGGAGGAAAAAAAATTAAGGAACTTTTGCACATATATGCAAAACCAGCACTATAATTGCATAAGCTTTTTATAATTCCTAAATAGGAATTTAATTCCTTTTCTGACTTAAACAGAATATTAATTGTTTAGAGCAAAGATACTGGAAATGAGATGAAAGACCTTATTAGACTCTCAGCTGAAAAAAAAGCAACAATGTAATATTGTTTCTACTAGGATGTTCATAGTAGTAAAACATACATTTTAATTATTTCTATATTCTATAAAAATTTCTAGAATATAGAGTTGGAATATTTATATTCATAATCAATTGCTAATGGTCTTAAAAATACATGTATTAAAATACCAAGGGAAGATTAATTCAACAAAAATATTGTTTTTAATGCTTTCTGGACACTCTAGATAATGTTTTTAAAAGGCTATTAATTTAATTATTAAAAGTAAAATGAATGAAGGTATGCTTCCTCACATGATACTTTATTATATGGCCCTATTGCCCCATTTTGATTTGATACCCATAAGTTTGCTAATAAGGTGCTACAGAGAGCAATACAGATGAAAAATGTAAATGAATATTAGAATCACAGACCAAAAACATTATGTAAAGAATTACAGATATATTGAACAGGGTGGGGGTAGGAGATGGACAGTAAAAGATCACTATTCAAAGTTGTAAAGTTAGAGCTATTCCACATGTACAGCCTTAGATTACAGATAAATGTTCATTTTCATTTATTTATGATCAGGCTTTTTAGCAACAAAATGGAAAGACTAGTGAATATTATTTTATGTGGTCAAGGTTAAATTATTAGTTTAAAAACTAGATTCAATGTGTCTTGTACATTTCTTCCTTTTGTATAATGAAGCATAAAATTAAAAAAAGAGAAAATCTTATCTTCACCTATCAAATATCCAGGAAAGAAGCAAAAAAGTTGATGTCCATAGTTTCTATATTCCTGGAAAGTTATGAAATTAAAAGCAGAAATTGTGGTTGCTAAACGAGGACTACCTGTAGTAAGTTAAAATGCAAACAGTACACATTTCTCCCTTGGCCTACCTAGTTCGTTTCACTCCCAGCTATAAAAATGACCGGCCACATTCTGCAGAGCCACACAAAACGGAGTGTCATGTTTAGATATATCATATACTCTGCTCCTCTGGACTCTTTTGGCAATATTTTTCAGGGTTACTGGATGGACATTGGACTACATACAAATTCATGCTCATAAGACATGTAATGGAAAGAACAATGTCACCTATTAGCCCTGTATCTACTATCACTGAAAACTATTCACTCTAAAGCCAATGTCCCAGATCGCTAAAGATTAGCTAGAGATATGAAGGCTCAGATAAGAACAGGAAAAATTATGGCAGAGGAATTAAAAATTTTAGGAAAATGTTAAAAGAAATACAACAAAATACTTTTTAGGATAATGAATGCAATAAACCTAGATACTCACATATTGCTATCCCTTAGTATTGAAAGTCTTTTCTAATAACTGGAAATTGAATCACTATATCTGCAGCATAAGAGCACTGCAGTTCATGTATACAGAGAAGTAACTTGTGAAAGAGTAGAGAAGCTTATTTCAACTGGAGCAAATTTTCAGTTTTCAGAATCAGAAGACTATCAAGAGAATACAACTGAAGACTCAGAAGAAGCAGAAATAGCCAAAAGTAAAAAGAAAAACTTGGAAAATAAAACTAAACAGATAACATCTAGAAGGCAAAACTTTTATTCAGTGAGTTCTGTCTTTTCCTGTCTTCCTCAGCTTTTATTTTTTCTAAAGATGTGAATGTGAGGAATCAGCATATATATATATATATATATCCCTGTTTTATTATTATGCTGATGGTTTTGTATCTTTTCAGCTTTATTTTTTGCCAACTAGGGAAGCTGACAAAATTAAGATTTCCTAGGTTTCTTAGAGTTCCATTTGTAATAAAAATTAAAAATATTTAATGTAAATCCAATCTGTAAATGTTATTATGAAATCATATTTAATAATTTTAATACAGCAAACATGCTAATTTTATACATAAACTAAGGTATCCACAATACATTTCATGTTCTTAAAGTAGTAAAGTGAGCTTTCCATAAAGGCTGCTGCAAAAATTAATCTTCCACATATTTCACAAAGATCAGGATTTTCCCCCCATAGCTTCAAAATTTCCAGAAATTTTACATCTCTAACTTTAGCCAGAACACCCAGAAAGTTTGCCCATGTACACATCATTATCATACTTGTAGCACTTGTATATAAAAATCTGAGGGAAACCTCATAAATATAGAGACCAATGAATATGGCCACGTTGAGGTGCGCCCTTATACCTTTTGCACATGTAGTAAATGAATGGGAGCAACATTAGAACAGGACTAATAATCCATGAGGTCCAGAACTTTTGAATGACAATAAAAAGAACCAAAACTGGATTTTGATTTATATCAATTAGAAAGAAAATGCCAAGAACAAAAACAGCATCCAAAAGAGTCTAAACAACAGTATCACAGCAAATCATGTATTTTACATTTTGCCAACATCATAATTACAACATTTAAAACATGTATAACTAAAAGACAAAGATTTGACCATGACTATGCCAAATTCTGTCCTTATTTTATTTCTGCTTCCATGCATTTATCTAAATCCTCATCATTATTTCCCAATCACTTTTTATCTGAGTCCATCAAGAAAATGCCACTCTGTTTTAGTGTTAAAAGCATCCTGTTGGTGATTGTTTGATCATCACCCTTAAGCCCCTCGGTCAGTCCTAATTTAGCTCTTAAGTCATCATTCTTCAGTTTGAAGTTCAGAACATATTGTGCATTTGTTTTGTTTCCTATGCTTTAGTTCACGCATTTCCTTGGCTTGCTTGTGTAATATTCTCATGCTGCCTGATATTGTGCAATATTGAGAATATTGTGTAATATTCTCATGCTGCCTAATAAGTTCCCATTGAACTTAATGAAGAACAATTTTGTTCAAAAAAATTTTTGAAGTAGAAAAGAATTTCAGTAAAATTCCCATGAAAGAAGTGTTTTGTTCATGCATCCACGTAATTATGAGTGGCCAAGTGAGGTGCATCAGCTTATCTACAACCTGCTATGCTCACATGAAATTATACTTAAAAATGCGAAGTAAGGACTAGACAAACAATAAAAACAGTCAGTAGTAGTAATTCAAAATTTGAATTAGTGCAAGGAACTAACAGAATTTTTTGGTTTATTCATGCTAGACGTTCCTTAATCCTGAATATAAAAACCATACCTTGAAGGACATGGATACTTTTTTTTTTAATGTTCAATAAAGAAATTCAAAACTGTATTATGGATTTCCACCTCATTTTATTTTAAAGGATTATTTTCATAACAAATTTTTATTCTATAATCCAATTGAGAACTTTGTGTGTAAATCAAATCCTAATAACATTTTCCATATCATTTAGCATCAAGAAGGCTAACCCTACCAAGGAAATGTCAACTGAGATATTTGCATTGCCAAAGTCTTATCCTAGTCTTCACGTCCAGACAGTTAAACACTGTAATCATGACACAGCAGCAGTAGCAAAATCTGCCCCATTCTAAAAAGTCATGATCTACACCCAAGTGAGCTTTGTGCACTGCAGCAGAATTTTTATTGCAAGAGCAGAAAGTGAAGGCACAAAACCAAAGGGCAAAATAATTTATGGAGTGTTCAAGTTATGGCACATTTAAGTACAAAAGTGTGATGGACTGGAATTGTGGAGGCCAGAATCGGGGAGTGAAGAATGCTCTTTCATCTCCCGAAGCGCAGGGAAGAGATAAGAAGATGAGGCTGGCACCTCCCTGAGGAATGCAGGCTATGTTTACTGACTGACCCTCGCAACTGGTT